AAATGAAGTTTTAACATACGCTCAAGCTGGTTTCAGACACGATCATTCGACTAGCGACAATATCTTTAGCGCAATAATATCTTCGAAAACCAAAGCATCGTTTTTATGCCGCATTTATTGACTTCCGGAAAGCGTTTGATTCAGTTGATAGAACTAAGTTATTATTTCTGCTTTTAAAGAAAGGCATATGTGGCTAAATGTTTAAAGTGTTAAAGAATATGTATGAAAATGTTTTTGCTTGTGTTCGTACGGGAAATTTTAGAACTGACGCATTTCAGACCTCCAGTGGAGTCCGACAGGGCTGTATGTTAAGGAAATTTGCCTCCCTGATGTCCCCCCAAAATGTTAATGTTATAAGAGGTTTTGCTCTTTATATAACAGAAATTTGCCAGTTTACCGTTAAGCAGAAGTGTTTATCTGGATTAAAGATATCGTTTTTTTTATAGATAAACACTTTTATATTTAGAAATTTCGTAATACATCCACATGCCACTATCGTACTCATGTTATATGAAAGAAATTGTACTCTTGGCCACGAGGCCTTCAATACTGAATAAACTCTCTCTCTCTCTCATGGTAAGCCTGTTGAGATTTGAAAGAGTTCCAAACAAAGCCGAGGCTGTCTTTGGAGAATGGGGACATGTGATATAAACGACCTAAACCAATGTGAAAGTTGAACGTTTATTATTTGGCCTTTCTACACCTAAGTTGACATCATTCGTCATTAAAACACATTTTGTTTATAGCCGTATGTAAGTAAAGACTAATCATATTATCAAACAAAACGAAGTTATTTAAAGATTGATCTTTCATGTGTTCAATGTATCAATTCATTATTTTGAATTAAATGTTAACGATCCCCGCGAATAGCTGTTATACTGGAGATGATGCGTATAGCAATATTTATTTATTCATTCATCAATGATTGGTATCAATGGAACCAAATTTCGCTTATGTTTCGAAAATAGCATACGCTATGCATTATTAACACGAGCATTGTGTTCATGTCATTGTGGTAAATAGCACCTGAAGCATCCCTTTTCACTCTCTGAAACAGGAGACCCAGAGGAATATCTTCACTGATGCAAGTCACGTCATGATATGGTATAATAGCATCATTAAAACTGATGCCATTTTCAGAGAATGCGATCGTTTGAATAACTGATTATCTGTTCCAAGTAAATCCATCCAATGTTTCCAATCACTACTTGGGGACATGTGAAGGCTCATAAAATACGTCACACAGTTGGTTGGTTGGTTTGTTGTTTAACGCCGCACTCAGCAATATTCCAGCTATATGACGTCACACAGAATATGTTGTGCAAAGTTGCGTCCTTTGGGCACGTCTGCAACCTATGATTAGCGTCCGAATCCCGGTTCGCCCCGATAATGTTTCAACGTTTGTCAGCACCATACCATTGCCCGTTGGTTTCATGAAAGTGGTAAACGTCTGAGACCTGCATCACTTCCAGCTCACCTCCCACATTAAGCTGGCACGCCGTGGTAACACTGGAAGACTATTCGCAGCAACTTTTAACCCAACTCATTCCCCCACAAAGATATCGTTTTGTGACATATTTGTTTCGCTTAGAAATGTTATAACACTAGTTCCATAATGTATATGACGTCGACATTTCAATTTAAACGACAATTTGTGAGTAAGTGATTGCCACAAACCATCCCTGGAACTGCGATCTTGGCGTCGTTTTGGGAAAAACGTACTGTGGTCCGATGTATAATAGTGAATATTGAGTGACGAAAATGTAAAATCAGCGATATATTGGTTTCTGTGGTATGTAGTGATGTTCATTGTGTATTGGCGATAATACCGGTTTTATGTTGCGTACGCTGACGTCGAGGGGAATACTTAATACATGAACCATTGTTTCCGTGGAATAAGCCTTTAATTGAACAACTTGGTTCAGCCAGACTATGGGTGCGAAGCTCATTCAATGGCAAATCATTCCTGTTCACACCATTCGTGCATTATTCATTATATACACAAAAATAAAACATTAAAAAAAACAACAGGATAAGGGATGCTCCTTCTTGTCAAAAATCCTGATCTTAACTGAAAACCTTCAGCAGACCCCCCAGATCAAAATCTGAATGAACTCCCAGACACTGCACCAGGAATGACAGATGATCCTATTGTTGAAAATCAGACGTCTAACCAGCGGCACGAGGAGACGCCTTACGAATGTCTTCCATGAGGGAGGTGGATAGTCCAGATACTGACTGCAGAGTTAGTGTTGTTTCAGTCAGTCAGTATCCTAGGTTGACGGCCCGTGAAGATCCGGGTTAGAGGAGGTCTTCAGCAACCCATGCTTGCCGTAAAAGGCGACTATGCTCGGGAACGGGTGTTCAGGCTCGCTGACTTGGTTAATGCATGTCATCGTATCTCAATTGCGTGGATCGAGGCTTATGTCGAAAGAGGCGACTAACGGGATCGGATGGTCAGGCTCGCTGACTTTGTTGATGCATGTCATCGATCCCAATTGCGTGGATCGATGCTCATAATATCAATCACTGGATTGTCTGGTCCAGACTCGGTTATTTACAGAGCGCCGTCATATAGCTGGAATATGGCTGAGTGTGGCGTTCAACAACCAACCAACCAACAAACAAACATGTATGAGATACGTTGTGTACAGTGTTTTATTTATAGATCAACCGACGAGCTACGAGGAATTACAGATTATTTGCCCATGAGTGATTGAATGGTATAAGTCCCGAGCATTCTTGGTTTCAGGAAGCATATTGTATATATTTCTAATTGACATGTTAAGAACAAAATGTAGATAAAAATATGAAATGTGAACCCTACGGAGAAACTTCACCGAAAGCAACCTATTGTTAAGATGACCTAAAACGATCAATTTGTGAGATCAGGAACGATTGATCAAGTCATGTACATTTCTTAGAAATGAATCATAGTGACGTGTGGTTTTAACTGACAAATCAGCATTCAGAATAGCTACAATGCAAATGACGCAAGGGTATTACACAATCTGTCTACCCTAATGGGTAATAGTTAACACAAATAGTATACATGGAAATACATCTGCCCAGGACCAGGTCGCTTATTTGTGCAATATTTAGTTTTGTTCCTTCCGTAATAAGCAAGTACATTTTACGAACTGTATTGATAGGCCCTTCAAAGGTATATGTATGTGCCAGCGACGTACAGCGGGGTCGGAAGAGAAGGGAACCTGTTTCACGATACATCCAGTTTATGATTATGATATGAACCTTTTTTTATACATTAATCGCTATTAACTTTTTAATATCTTTGATGCCATGATACCCCATATCGGAAATATGGGGACCTCCCTACCGTCCTACAAATGAAGATGTCCACATAAGATTTTGCAAACCATTCCTGAATGCGTACATCAATAATAACAACATGGCTTCAGGAGACTGGGGCAGAGTCCCTCTATACGGCAAGAGCTATTTAGTCCTGGTGAAGGATCAGACACTGACTACTACACTAAGCCTACATAATGACATAATGACAATGGTGAAAGCATATGGGCTTCTCTGATAAGAATGATTGTTCCAATTTGAATTTGGTTCTGTAATTGGGACACCGGCAACACTACACATTTCATGCCAGTGCTTAAACAAAGATTATACGACTGCCTCACAAAATATTCTTTCCAGTTCCAGACAAAGCACCGTGTAGAAAGATCTTTAACTTGTTCTCTTCTTCTTTATCAAAGTAGAATTATTACCATGTTTCGACGTAACAACGTTTGTCTTGTAGTAATATACGGACGTCATGACACCATACCATGTGATTAACGTGTTTGCTCCTTCTGTTTTCCTAAAGAACTTGGGGACACGGGTGGCCAAGCCGACTGAGGCGCCGCGATTCGCTGTGCAGACTGCGTTTCTACATAACAAATGGTACACATCAATATGTATTCCACTATTACATGAATGGAAGCCGACACGGGATAGGTTTACGTTTTTGCTTGCTTTTGTAACAACGAGACGGCGTCCTTTCTAGAGTTGCAGAGTTGCGTCCCTTGGGCACGCCAGAAACCTATGATTGTGGGTTCGAATCCCGGTTCGCCCCGATTATGTTTCTAGGTTTGTCAGCACCATACCCGTGCGCGTGGGTTTCACCGAAGACTTGCATCACTTCGGGCTTTCCTCCCACATTAAGCTGACAGGCCGCGATTCAACTGGAATACTGTTAAAAGAGGCGTTAAAACAGACTCACTCGCTCACTCATGCTAAAGAACCTCACTACATTGAAGACGAGTTTCATGTAATGATAATTTATTACCAATATTTTTGTGCAAGAAATATCACTTTTTAACATCATCAAATCAACCTGGCAAGTGTTGAGACTACCATAAGGCTAATAAATGTCAGGTGAAAATGTGAACATTAAAAATATTTAAGTAAACGTCTCTGCCAAACCACGATAGGTCTTGACAGCATTGTATGAAACAACAAAGCAATTTGTAATCCAGCATGTAATTATTCACATTCTAACATCTATCCTGTATCATGGGTTGCATGCCTAATATACTGAATAGTTCAGCCTGTCTGTCATCACACATATGTTTTGCATAGTTTGGCCTTATATGAATCAATTAGCATTCATATTTACATGTAGTCGTTTTAACAGCATTGCACTTGCTCTTTGCAAAGGTTTCTACATAACAAATGGTACTCATCAATATGTATTCCACTATTACATGAATGGAAGCCGACACGGGATCGGTTTACGTTTTTGCTTGCTATTTGTAACAACGAGACAGCGCCCTTTCTAGGATAGCTATTCGACTATCCTATTTTCTAAAAGGATGCACGGGTGGCCTAGTCGTCTCAGGCGCCGCGATTCGCAGTGCAGAGTTGCGTCCCTTGGGCAAATAAAAAACCTATGATTGTTGGCTCGAATCCCGGTTCGCCCCGATTATGTTTCTAGGTTTGACAGCACCATACCCGTGCTCGTGGGTTTCACCGAAGTGGTTAACGTCTGAGACCTGCATCACTTCGGGCTTTCCTACCACATTAAGCTGACACGCCGTGTTATAACTGGAATACTGTTAAAAGTGGCGTTAAACCCAACTCACTCACTATTTTCTAAACTATTTCGACATACATCATGATTAAGAAGTGGCGTTACTCTCACTTTCAAAGCAAGGATTCACAAATATATATTTGCTTATATCAATATATTGACTTTAGTACTTGTTCGATAACAATATCTATTTGTGTGATTTATCACGATACCTATAGCGATTTATCATATCTGCTTCTCTCTCATTGTCCAACGGATAGCAATGTTTTTCACTGACCACGGCCCGGGGCAGACACACCCAGGGGTCATCGGTCTCCCACAGCCACGCATACAGTTGCTTCTGAAGGGATTCCAGTACCGTTTGGTGCGCCGAATCAAAGGCCAAATTTATCCTCTCCTTGAAATCAGCTCTGATATCATAAAGCTCCCATTCAGATCGATAATAATATTCAGACATTGACTTGAACCATACCCAAGGGTCAACATTTGACCTTGATCTATTGAGAAGGTCAAGGAAAGTAGGGGAGAAGTATATATCCGTTGCTATTGGATACGGGGTATTTGGGAAAATGTTGTGAATCAGTTTGTATTTGGAGGTTCTCAGTACTCGCATCGGATAATGCTGATGTACACCATGCAATGTGTGACTTGAAAACACGTGATCGTTGGTCAGATTGCTTGGGTTTGAAAGGACCGGAAGTAAGGATTTGCCAGTGAGCTCTACGACATCTGTAAATATCTTATACTGTGGGTAGGAGACATTGAACCAGTCCAAAATTGTCGGCGTGAAATCCATCAAACTTCCCATTGATTCGGTTACCTGAAACATAATTGATTATTCTACCATGATTTTCGAATTTACTCAATTCTGATTGGTCAATCAGAGGCTATTAAATCACATTAAACCCCCTCTGATTGAAACAGCTGGTTTGACGGCCGCATCAGCGCGGAAGCTAATATTCATAGAATAGTACTATTTTCAGTCATTGTCGGTAGGCATATTTAAATAATTATATCTACAATTACAGGTTATAAAATGCACAGATGCGGTTACTACAATATTCAAAGGATGTGTGGCAATACATTTCGTGCAGAAAAATACGACAAAAATCAACAAAGGGAATGTATTTACGCTTAGCTCTACATTGAAAACACAGTGTGTTTATATCCTAAATATTCAATAATTATCAATTTATAAAGATACTGCTAATTTAAGAAGAGTTTAATAATTTATATATAGTTCGGATTTTACTGCTACGAGGCGGTGGGTGGCCCTGTGTTAAAGGGTTTGTTGACGTCGAGGTTCGATTCCGATCATGTACAGTAAATACCATATGATAAGGCTGAAATACTGCCAAAGGCGTCTTTAAACCATACTGGTTCACTGCCTCTATTGTATTTGCTTGTAGTATCTCGTTTCGGCCGGGTTTTTATAAACAAACACCAAAAACATAACAAAAGGAAACATGTCTCAAATTTATATTGTGTGCAGTGTCATTGGAGGGCACGGGAGCCACAGTCGTCGTAGGCGTCGTAACTGTTGTGCAGTGTTCCGTCCTTTAGGCGTACCAGAATCCTATGAATCGTGGGTTCGAATTCCGGTTCGATCTGATTTTGTTTGTAGGTTTGTCACCACGTCATTACTCTTAATCAAGTGTTCCTCTAAAGTTGTAAATGTTAGCAGGTTGTTTGGTTTGTTGTTTAACGCCGAACGTCTACAATATTCCAGCTATATGACGGCGGTCTGTAAATAATCGAGTCTGGACCAGACAATCAACTGATTGACATCATGAGCATCGATCCATGCAATTGGGATCGATGTCATGCTTCAACCAAGTCAGCGAGCCTGACCTCCCGATCCCGTTAGTCGCCTCTAATGACAAGCATAGTCGCCTTTTACGGCAAGCATGGGTCGCTGAAGACCTATACTACACGAGTATGTGCGTGTGCGTGTGCGTTCGTGCGTGCGTGCGTGCGTGCGAGTGTGTGAGTGAGTGTTTCGTTTTAACGCTGCTTTTAACAGTATTCCAGTTATATTACGGCGTATCAGCTTAATGAGGGAGGAAATTCCGAAGTGATGCAGGTCTTAGATGTTTGCCACTTTGGTGAATCGCACGAGCATGGGTATGGTGCTGACAAACCTAGAAATGGATTCGAACCCCAAATCCAGGTTTTTGGTGTGCCCAAGGGACGCAAGTTTCCACAGTGAATTCGGATATCGGATTACAAGATTTCCTTGATTTATTTTTCAATTGATCACCCCGCCGTTCGAATAAGCTTTCCCCTAAGACATACGTAGAGTTCAGACGCAGGTACCTACTTTTCCCCAACTGCCCCTGTGAAGGGGTGATGATATCATCATTGGTTCCCCCATCCCTGGGTCATACAGATTTGTCTTTGCGCCCGGGAAAGGGATGCCATTATCAGAAGAGAAGAGTATGAGAGTGTCATCCATGTGTCCTGCTGCTTCCAGAAGACTGAGGAAAAGACCAATGCCTGAAATATCACCAACAAGAACACAATGCCTATTAACTGTGGAGCGAATGAGCAACTGCTGTTTAAGGCAATATCACAATGTTTTTCAGTTGTGTTTCAATTGTTCTTTGGTTGTTTAACGCCGCACCCAACAATATTCCAGCTATATGACGGCGGTCCTTTATATAATCTTGTCTGGTCTTGACAATCCAGTGATTGACGTCATGAGCATTGATCTACACGATTGGGATATGATGACATGCATGAACCACGTCAGCGAGACTGACCACACGATCCTGTTAGTCTTACGACAAGCATGGGTTGCAGAAGACCTATTCTACCCCGGATCTTCACGGGTGCATGTCCACTGAACATGGGAGGAACTCCATGCGCCTTTCTCGCTTTAGTAAAACAAACGATCATAATCATAATTCGAAACCTCAAGTATGATTCTGGCAGTTATTATAAGAAACGCAACTATGCACCACTGTGATAAAAATGACTTTCTATATGTACAAACTTTACCCTGATCCATTCGGCTGAAGGTAGTGTACATGTCAGCAAGGTCCTGTCTGGTCGCGGGGGTGTCAGGCAGAAAATAGGGTACCATGACGTCACTAGGGCCGTATTTAACAGGTGTCCAATCAGAGATAACGCCCATTCCAGGTTCTCCATTTCCAAACTTCTCACAAAATTCACCATATTTGGGAATCTGGTTACATCGATGCGGATCATGGAAACCAATATAGAGAAAGAATGGCCTACAGGAAAAGAAAAGCCTATATGATGGTTTTGTTTGTTTGTTTGTTTGTTGTTTAACGCCGCACTCAGCCATATTCCAGCTATATGACGGCGGTCTGTAAATAATCGAGTACAGGACCAGACAATCCAGTGATTGACATCATGAACATCTATCTTTGTTTGTTTGTTTGTTTGTTGTTTAACGCCGCACTCAGCAATGTTCCAGCTATATGACGGCGGTCTGTAAATAATCGAGTCTGGACCAGACAATCCAGTAAATAATATCATGAGCATCGATCCACGCAATTATGATCAATGACATTCATCAACCAAGTCGGCGAGACTGACCACCCTATCCCGTTAGTCGCTTTTTACGACAAGCATAGTCACCTTTTACGGCAAGCATGGGTTGCTGAAGACCTATTCTACCCCGGAATCTTCACGGGTCGAACATCTATCTACCCAATTGGCATACGATGACATGCATCAACCAAGTTAGCGAGCCTGACCACCCGATCCCGTTAGTCGCCTATTACAAGCATAGACGCCGTATACGTGAAGAATGGTTACTAAATGATGGATGTGATAGCGGTCAAATACGGTATTTATCTTGTAGTACTAGGAATTGTTACGTTAACGTCTGATGGTGCTATGAATAATAATATCTATTCATACCAGGCCACTGGCATGAGACAAACAACCCCATTTGACAACCACCATTAAATTATCAATTTATTGAATAATTGAAGTTGTTGTTACTTGAGCCCAAAGCATTGTCATCAAACCTACTGAGACTGAAATTATAATTAAGAATTAAACGACGTGTGTGAGTTGTTTATCGTACAATACAACACAGCGGGGAGAACAAACCACGAGGGGCGCAGCTCCGATGAGCTTATTCTTCCTGCAGTGTTTTATTGTACGATAAGCACCGACCACGAGTCTTTGATTTCTTATAAATGAGATATCAACATTATTCACAGCCCCGTTTATGTACAAGCTTTCAAAATACTAACCCATATTAACATGATAATGACTCCCTGAATAGAGCCCGACTTCGACAATGACGGATAAGTCCATTTTATGAACGAGGGGATCAATTTGTTTTTTTCCCTGCATATTCTCAAACTCTCCACGTCGATTATCTGTACCAATGCCAATTGTCATATCTCTCCCACTTTTTGGATGAGATCGTTCGACCATTGCGTTCATCTACGTTGACCAGCTGAATCTACGGGGAACAAGTCACTGAACACTTTCCTCTAAAACATAACGCCGTCAAATGTACGACGTCATCAAGTTGCAAGCGCATGTTCCAATCTCCAGAAATGACTTCATGATAGAACAATGTTTTAAAGTGAAATAAACCACGCTTCGTTCTTCATTGTTCTTTTGTGGGATTATCGTGTAGCTATCTTATAAACACCATTATAGACATTTCTCCCAAATCGAATATCTTTTTTAAGCAAAAGAACCAAAGAAATTATGAAGAAACATTGAACAACCTATTTACATGTATATGCGTAGCCTTTTAATCCCATAGCTTCGAGGCACGGTTGATACGATTCACCTACAGGTGCAATGTGGGAAGCTCATTTCTGGTATTCCCGGCCGGTATGTTAATGAAAGGGGCACACAACCACACTTGCTCATGTTCCATAAGACCCGTGAAATTCCGGGTTATAATACGTCTGCAACAACCCATGCTTGCCGTTAAAGGCGACCGTGCCTTAAAGAGGCGACTAACGGGATAGGATGGTCCGGCTCACTGACTTTGTTCATGCATGTCATCGTATCTGAATTGCGTGGATCGATGGTTATATTGTCAATCACTGGGTTGTCTGGTCCACACTCCATTATTTACCGCCGAGTGCGGCGATAAAGAAACAAACATTTACCATAACTTCCGATGCACATACAACTGCTTTGTTGATTGATGTTTGCAGGTCCAGATCACATATGCGTTGTTGATAATCAAGACTGGTTATTCTCTTGCATTGACAATTTATATTTTATAATTATATCCCTTTCCTTGTGTTCATAGCAAGACAGAACAGCGATATTGCATTGTGTAAAAGGATTGTTGCATAGGTTAAAGCGTTCGCTTGTCATGAAGAAGACCCGGGCTCTATTCCCCAGATTGAAAAAATGTGTAAAGCTAACAGTGTCGCCCTGATATTGCTCGAATATTGCTAAAAGCCACGTAAAATCCAACTCACTCACTCACACGTTCAACATACCTTGTGTCGTTGTCGTTGATGAATTCCTCAATATAGTTCTTCATATATGTGATATTTCTTCCTATTTGATTAGCATCATGCTGTTCTTCCGTTTCTTCATAGTCAAACTTATACACCGCATCTGGACCAATGTGTTTCTTGCCTACGATACCTTCGGAAGATGGAGAAGAATCGAAAATTATATATTCGACTTTGTGCCTTGTTTCATTGAATTAGATTTGTGTCCCTTAGGTGATGTGAAATGGGGTTTAAATTCTTGTATTAGTCTGGACTAATGCTGATTTTAAAAGACGTTAAAAGATGGTACTTGTTGTCTCGCGCTCGGTATTAAAGTTCTAAAACAAGGATTGGATGGCTCTGAGTCAGTATACTGTGTCTGAGCGGGGTATTCATGTAAAAACTGCGACATGGTATCTCAGTGAGCTAGCACTATAAACCGGCATCAGTCCGGACTGGTACAAGCAGCCTCACAAACACGCACACGTACATGCACGTCGCTATATAAGTGCAATAATCTTGGACGCAACGTTAAACCTAATTTCACATCACCTAAAGTAACAGGGAAATCATATAACGTAAAAAAAGGTACCTAGAGCATGTATTATGTTAATGTCAGATAAAAGTGATGGTGTTGGAAACTACAATTCAGTCATACGCATTCGTTTTAATTTCGTCCATTTGATCCAGATTATTTAAACTATTAAGTCGCGTCAGCAATATTTCAGCCATGTTGTGAAAACAATGTGAATCTTAACCACAAACTTGCCGGTCCAGTGTCAGGCAGTAGCAATATAACTAGTATATAGTAGATTGCAAACAATCAACAATCTTTTCAGTGACATGTCACAAAATGGTCCTACCAGTCCTGATGCCAGCGTCGTCGAGGATGACGGGAAGACTCCTGACGTTGTCGAAGGAGTTGAAATGGTGCCATGCACTATGGATTCCATACATGCCGTTCTGGTGCTCCGGAAGACCGGTCAGAAGTACAGCTCTGAGGTGAAACACAACGTTTTGGGGCCACAAGGAAGTTCCCAATTTCAAACCGTTTTAAATAATATTTCATGGTATGACAACTTAATGTTCGTTTGACACCCAAAACAACGCGGATACAAGTAGAAGACATTTACCACTTTGGTGAAACACATGAGGACGGGAACAGTAATGAGATCTTGGAATGTATGCATTGGGCACATGTTGTTACAAACAGTCAATCAGTTCAAATGGTTGATTCCCTTTCGAAATAAATATATTTCTTTTCTAACCAAAGTTTGTTTCATAATTATTCAGGAATATTACATAAAATATTTTGACAAAGAGTGGACCTTTTACGTTTATCAACAGATACGTGTGTACTTGACAGTGAACTCATTCATTTGCTAATTGATCCATGGCTCTGATATAGGTTATGTCTCATCTGCTCGTGGAACAGCTGCTGGTCTATGGATCTGATATGAGTTATGTCCTTACTGCTCGGGAAACAACCGCAGATCCATGGCTCTGATATGGGTTACGTCCTACGTGCTCGGGAAACAGCTACTGGTCGATGGCTCTGATATGTGTTATGTCCTACGTGCTCGGGAAACAGGTTCTGGTCGATGGCTCTGATATGTGTTATGTCCTACGTGCTCGGGAAACAGCTACTGGTCGATGGCTCTGATATGTGTTATGTCCTACGTGCTCGGGAAACAGGTTCTGGTCGATGGCTCTGATATGGGTTATGACCTTCTTGCTCGGGAAACAGCTACTGGTCGATGGCTCTGATATGGGTTATGTCCTACGTGCTCGGGAAACAGCTACTGGTCGATGGCTCTGATATGGGTTACGTCCTACGTGCTCGGGAAACAGCTACTGGTCGATGGCTCTGATATGGGTTATGTCCTACGTGCTCGGGAAACAGCTACTGGTCGATGGCTCTGATATGTGTTATGTCCTACGTGCTCGGGAAACAGGTTCTGGTCGATGGTTCTGATATGTGTTATGTCCTACGTGCTCGGGAAACAGGTTCTGGTCGATGGCTCTGATATGTGTTATGTCCTACGTGCTCGGGAAACAGCTACTGGTTGATTGCTCTGATATGGGTTATGTCCTACGTGCTCGGGAAACAGCTACTGGTCGATGGCTCTGATATGTGTTATGTCCTACGTGCTCGGGAAACAGGTTCTGGTCGATGGCTCTGATATGTGTTATGACCTTCGTGCTCGGGAAACAGGTTCTGGTCGATGGCTCTGATATGTGTTATGTCCTACGTGCTCGGGAAACAGGTTCTGGTCGATGGCTCTGATATGTGTTATGACCTTCGTGCTCGGGAAACAGGTTCTGGTCGATGGCTCTGATATGGGTTATGACCTTCGTGCTCGGGAAACAGCTACTGGTCGATGGCTCTGATATGGGTTATGTCCTACTTGATCGAGGGATAGTGACGATCCATAGCTCTGATACGGATTGTGTCCTACCTGCTCAGGATACAGCTGCAGATCCATGGCGCTGATACGGACTGTGTCTTACCTTCACGGAATAGCTGCAAATCCATGGCTATGATACGGATTGTGTCTAACCAGTTTATGGAATAGCTTCAGATCCATGTCTCTGATATGGATTGTGTCTTACCTTCGCGGAATAGCTGCAGATTAATGACGCTAATACGGATTGTGTCCTACCTGTTTGCGGAATAACTGCAGATCCATGTCGCTGATACGGATTGTGTCTTACCTTCGCGGAATAGCTGCAGATCCATGGCATTGATACGGATTGTGTCTTACTTGTTGGCGGAATAGCTGCAGACCCATGGCTCTGATACGGATTGGAATAACTGCAGATCCATGTGTCTGATGTGAATTATATATGCCCTACCTGCTCGGGGAACAGCTACTAACGGAGGTATATCCGTGTTTAAACACAACGCTTCTGGCAGCCAGTTTGTCAAAATTTGGTGTCTTGCAGGCAGTGTTGTTATAGGCACCCATTTGAAAGCCTGCATCGTCACCTGGGCAATAATAAAAGACAGTTTCAAAGATTCCGGCTTTACTGGGTCTACCCATGAAGAAACACGCACTAGTTAATTAGCAAGTGGTACATGAACTCCTGTTAGAGAACCATCATGTTGAAACATCATAGAGTAAATCAAAGTTTATAAAAGCATGTCCATGTATCCACATTGCAGTATCTTGTAAGCGGTTCTTATCAGCAAGGTATTCCAATTACATGAATCTGTACCTACCTAGGACGAGGAGGACATTCCTTTTGGCCCCTGTGATGATCTGCGGCAGAATAAGGGCACCGACAAACACATTCAGAGCCAACATCCTGAGGGAGGTGGTGTCAGACATTGTAGACTAACAAGATGCACAGATTGATATCTGAGGTCAATAGACAGGATATAGTAGCGGACAGGTGGCCTGACTAAACAAAGATAACAAATGGGATAGGTATGTCAACATCTCTATCTACTTTTAGATATGACTGGTCTAACAAAAAGAGAGGTGGTCGGGTAGCCTAGTGGTTAAAGCGTTCGCTCGTCACAACGAAGACAAGGGTTCGATTCCCGAAATGGGTACAATATGTGAAGCCCGTCGTGATCTAGCTGGAATATTTATAAAAGCGGCATAAAACCATGCTCACTCACTAAGAAAAAGAACCGTGTTTTTCCAATGTTAATGTAGTTTTTGTTATCTGACGGGATCGAGTGGTCAGGCTCGCTGACTTGGTTGATGCAAGTCATCGATCCCAATTGCGTGGATCGATGCTCATGTGGTCAATCACCGGATTGTCTGGTCCATACTCGATTATTTACAGACCACCGTCATGTAGCTGGAATATTGCTGAGTGCGGCGTTAAACAACAAACAAACAAACAATTCAACAAAATTAGTAATCGCGCTATGGTGTCAATAGATTGTCTAATCAGAACTTGATTGTTTTGAGGTCGCAATCGTGTGGCAAGAGTACTGCTGTGCTGCGTTAGGCAACGAACTAAAACAATATAAGGGCGAAGACCAGGTGCCATCACAGCTTTTCAGTGATCCCTTCATATCATTTTCACCAATAGTTTGTCTTTTAGGCCCAGTTGATCGGTTTCGGTAGATAACCGAGCATGATTTTTCTATGGCGTTAACATTTTGTATTTATTATTTGCCACGGAGGATAAAACAAAAGTAGTTGAGGAGATACAATGACACGACGTAAGTTAATGTTGCCGTTAGGGCCTGTTTCGGTAGTGGATTTAACGATGTTTTACGACATGCTTACTGATGTCAAAACGTTTATGTTTTGAGGTGAATTAAATATTTCATGTGTTCATAAGGTGTGAAATGTGAGAAAGTATATCCCAGTAGAAAAGGTTTCAGAAAATAGAACATTGGGCATTTATTGCTCGAAATCGCTCAGTTTCAAATCGGTTTCATTTCGGGCGAGTTGTTGAATCGTAATGCACCCTATCGCAGTGGTTCAGTTTATGTTTGTTGCGAAACATGCCATCACTAACGATGCGCATTCTCTTCCAAAGACAATGTCCCTAGTGAAATGTGGAAATTGGTGTTATATGGACAGAGACTGCGTCTCCTTCTTTCATGAAAGCACCTTGCAGAAATGTTATCCTTTCACTCGCAACATTCAGAAGAACAATGACAACACGACTGGAGCCGTCAGATATTACGGGCAAAGGAATATGAAAGGTAAACAGTTTAACGGTGCATTCTGCAATATTTCAGCTAAATAACGTTGTCTGTTAATAATGGAATCTGGACTAGACAATGCAGCGATTGATATCATGACCATCGATCCACATACACATAATTAGGATATGATGACATGCATCACCAAAATGAACGAGCCTGACCACCCGATCCCGTTAGTCGCCTTTGATTCTACCCCGGATCTTCAGATCCGTGAAGGTCCGGGGTTGAATAGGTCTTCAGCAACCCGTGCTTGCCGTGAAAGGCGACTATGCTTGTCGTAAGAGGCGACTATAACGGGATCGGGTGGTCTGGCTCGCTGACTTGGTTGATGCATGTCATCGGTACCAATTGTTAGGATCGATGCTCATGATGTTAATCACTGGATTGTCTGGTCCAGATTCGGTTATTTACAGACCGCCGTCATATAGCTGGAATATTGCTGAGTACGGCGTCAAACAAAACACACACAAACAAAAAATCACGGGCTGCTCATGATGTCAATCACTAGATTGTCTGATCCAACCAACCAAAGCTTTCCGAAACAGTGTAATGAACATAGTGAAGACAGTTTTTGTTTAAGCTTGTGTAAATTGACTACAAAAAATATTACCAACATGTTGGTTAGTGCAATTGGTTGGTTGGTTTGTTGTTTAACGCAGCACTCAGCAATATTCCAGCTATATGACGGCGGTCCGGACCAGACAATCCAGTGACTGACATCATGAGGATCGATCCTCGCAATTGGGATCGATGACATGTATCAACCAGGTCAGCGAGCCTGACCACCCGATCCCGTTCGTCGCCTTTTACGACAAGCATAGTCACCTTTTACGGCAAGCATGGGTTGCTGAAGACCTATTCTACCCCGGAATCTTCACGGGTCTGACCAACATGTACCTACCCCAATTGTTTAAGGGAGTAATCGGAATCACGGGATTTTTTATGTTTGGCCCAATTGATTCATGATTTATAGCTTCTGCAGTGAACAATGCGATAGCTTTGACGTATCAAGTATCGTCTTTCAGCTGACGTTGCTCTTTAACGTTTTGTTGTAGAACAAGAATGCCACGAAAAGGGTCACAGCTATTCCTACTCGGAAGACCTATGCTACAAACAGTCTGCTTCTGAGAAGACCTGGACCAGCGCTCAGAGCGACTGTGAGACACTCGGTGGCACACTTTTCAACGTAGACACCCCTGCAAAACATAACTTCTTTGTTGATGTGGTCAGACGAGAAAGTGAGTTGACATCGTTCGCTACATTTAATGCTAAATCTTGCCCATTAATAACTGGGAGAATTCAGCAGCGTGGTTTTGTCTAGAATATGGCCCCAGCGGCACTGACTTGGTTGATGCATGTCATCGATTCCGATTGCGTTGATCGATGCTCATATTAATCACAGGATTGGTCCGGACGAATTATTTACAGACCGCTGTCATAAAATTGGAAAACTGCTGGAGTGCGGCGTTAAACAACAAAACAACCAACCAACCCAGCGGCACTTTGTTTTCTGAAGCGACCGCCTCCGTAGTTGGATAGATAGTGGATAGAGCGTCTGCCCGGAGAGACGAACGTCAGTGGCTTGATCCCCGGGTCTCGTCAAACTAAAATACGTTAAAGGATGGTACTTGCTGCTGCCCTGCCTGGTGCTCGGCATCACGGGATTAAAACAAGGACTGGTCTACTCGGACTGTAAGAACTGAATGGGGTATATAAAGTAAACATGTGACGTGGCATCTGACTAGCCCAGCACTGTATAACGGCATTATAAACTATGGCGTATCATATAATACGCATCTCCTTTGACCTGTTAACAAAGGACAGTAAAATAACTGTCGCAGATATGTATTTACAACTAGTATGTAACCATAAAAATATGTCACTATACTCAACAAGGCATTATAAAAACAGGCAATAGATCTACAGCCACCATATTAAGACCATAACTTAGTACACCAAAATGTATGAATTAGTTCAGTTTCTAATAAACAAAAACATTATTAAAAAGGTGCTTTGCTGCTTTAACACAAACATAATTATTTCAAGTGATGGAAGAAGTATACATGCTTGACTGTGATTCTTTCATCACAAGTGTGAGTAAGTGAGTTTATATTTCACGTCACATCGGCACCATTTCAGCCATATCGTGACGAGTGAGTGAGTTGGGTTTAACGCCGCTTTTAACAGTATTCCAGTTATATCACGGCATGTCAGCTTAATGTGGGAGGAAAGCCCGAAGTGATGCAGGTCTCAGACGTTTACCACTTCGGTGAAACCCACGAGCACGGGTATGGCGCTGACAAACCTGGAAACATAATCGGGGCGAACCGGGATTCGAACCCACAATCATAGGTTTTTGACGTGCCCAAGGGACGCAACTCCCTGGGCCACCCGTGCTCCCCATATCGTGACGAGAACTTAGACATGTATAATAATTGTATTTAGACAATGATAGTATAATAACACAGTTATCAGAATTTCGATTTTAAAACTAGTTGAGAACATCTAAAAGAATAAATTTTCATTCAACAATAGAATATAAAAAAATGGCTATCGATAAGTTAAGCCTCCATACAAGGGACCGCGGGGACTTACGATACTTCTGCCTGCCCGCTTGTACGGTTCCCCGACAGGATTTACACCATCCCTTCATCTGCTGGTGATGGTACGCAATTGAGCCATAAGTTACAATAGACAAATTACTGTTAAAATTGTGGTATGAATAAACGTACTTTGAACGATGTGGTTTTACATATCCTAACTGGGGCACAATAATTGTATGCTACTTCCAACCCCCTCAGCAACCCATGCTTGCCGTTAAAGGCGACTGTGCTTGTCCCAAGAGGCGACTAACGGGATTGGGTGGTCAGAGTCGCTGACTTGGTTGATGTTGGTTGGTTGGTTGGTTTGTTGTTTAACGCCGCACTCAGAAATATTCCAGCTATATGACGGCGGTCTGTAAATAATCGAATCTGGACCAGACAATCCAGTGATTGATACCATGAGCATCGATCCACGCAATTGGGATCGATGACATACATCCACCAAGTCAGCAAGCCTGACCACCCGATCCCGTTAGTCGCGTTTTACGACAAGCATAGTCACCTTTACGGCACGCATGGGTTGCTGAAGACCTATTCTACCCCGGAATCGTCACGGGTCACTTGGTTGATGTATGTCATCGTAGCCCAATTGCCCGGATCGATGCTCACGATGTCAATCACTGGTGCAGATTCGACTATTTACAGAAAAGTGATTGCACGATACACCAGCAAAACAATACTATGTCATGTCAGCCATGCTGGGGTCGTGTGTGCACTGGTTCCTCTCAGTGATCTATCATCTCAATGTCATTGAATAAGCCCAGTGCTGAATGGGGGTGAAATTAGTTCCCTGCAGTACATGTGTAATGTGTATCGTTCAAGTTTATTGGTCAACAGTGGTTTCTTCAACGGGCGAATAATCCTGAATGTGGTGTTAGCAATAACATAGATAGCGGTATAGCAGCATCAAAATGTGGATAAAATAGCATTTGATTCCAGTAACAGGTATTCCTGCAAAGACTTTATTTCATTAAATCGAACATGGTTGTCATTTTTGAGGAAGGAGAAGCATTATAGATCTCTCTCAAGATGAGCTGACAATATATATATTTGTCGTATTTCGTTATGGTGTCTTTTTTAACTGACGATGGTTGTCATAGGAGAGGAAGGAGAAGAACCATAGATCCCGTGATTCTTCTCTCTCGAGATGAGCTGAAAATATATATATACATTTGTCGTATTTCGTTATGGTGAATTTTTAACTGACGATGGTTGTCAAGATGAGCTGAAAAAATATATATGTCGTATTTCGTTATGGTGTGTTCTTACCTGACGGGTGTTTACTCATCATTGCAGCGAGCGGTGAAAGGTTCTTCATCGGGGGATCCGAAGAACATGGAGCATGGAGATGGACCGATGGCAAGAACATTGAAAAGTTCCACTGGCTGCCCAACGAGCCCGATAACATTTTTCTTCCTCAGCGTTGTCTTCAGTATTCACAACGACAAGGACATTATTTATGGGACAACACTCTCTGCAATTATCCGAAACATTACTACTGTCACTACCCCTGAAATATATTATAGTTAAATATGATGACATTGACGATAAGTATTAGGGACCGACCATTTGATAGTCTGTTCATGCTTCAGACTGTTAAACAATAAAATTGTCTGCCACAAATCGTTTTGTTTGTTGTTTAACGCAACGCTCAGCAATATTCCAGTTATATGACGGCGGTCTTTTAAATAATCGAGTACAGGACCAGACAATCCAGTGATTGACATAATGAGCATCACTCCACGCAATTGGGATACGATGGCATGCATGCAACAACCAAGTCAGCGAGCCTGACCACCTGATCCCGATAGTCGCCTTTTACGTCAAGCATGGGATGCTGAAGACCTATATTCTAACCCGGATCTTCACTGGTCCCACAAACGTACTTGGTTGATTTAATATTTAAAAAAATAAGGATCATTGCACGGATCCAGGCCTTATTTTTTATTGGCTTGAGAAAATTACACGGTGGCATGGGGATAAGTAATCGTTGGAAAGATGTAACTAAACTGTTAAAAGAAGCTGTATCGTTGTCTCACATATGTATAATGATATGCGTACATACGAATTACATAAATAGTTCTGAAAATATTTTTAGAACATACCTAACTGTTAATTATAACACTAAACACGTATATATTACTCAGCGACACACCATATCCTAGACTGGTTTACCTGACATAGAACGCATGCGTCTGCAGCCGCTAGGTGGCGAAGGGCACGGTACCACCAGTCCAGATCTATTTCACTCTAAAGCATATCGTTACGCGGGACCCAGGTTCCGTGTAGCGAGATATTAGCATT